CTTTGAAGATATAAAAGAGAAAGTAGATTAAATAAATAGTGGCTCCCTAGTGAAGCTTTTTGTTGCTTCAACTTTTAAAAGCGCAAGTCTTGGATTTCTAGGAATCCCATTGAAACTTTCTAGGAAATCTGCATTTTAAAATCTTAGTTGCCAATAAGAATTCAATATTCCTTCAACTTTGTAATTTCCTTTTACCTATTGCAAATACTTCCAATTTACTTTTGTGAAAAGGAATTTACAATATGGAGCTTTTAAATACTTGAAGCCTTAAAGTCTTGATAATTTTCCAAGTCATGGGTTCATATCTTATTATATGTGGATTTGATCTAAATTTATTTAGATGGAGTTGTCCAAAAGTATTATGATTTGTGAGTTTGAGTTTAATAGGTTATATAATTGTAATGCTTGATTTTAATTAAAATTTATAGATATTATATGTAAGGATTTAAATACAAAAATTTTATAACCATTAAAATCAAATCTTGATCTTCAGCTTTTTTTATTTACATACTATCAAAATTAGCTTCCAACATTTACTAAGATATTCATTTTAGTCCTTATTCTTTTTTCTTAAGTATTTTGACCCTCAACATTTCGTTTTGGGGGGAAAACCCCTCTATGAGTAGAAATCGTTAGTTAACAAGCGGTTAACGCTCTAAAATGAAATATTGGTGGCCAAAATGATTATTTAATCAAACATAAGGAGTCTTTTTGTCTTAAAATAAAACGTCAGAGGCAAAAATACTCCAAAAAAGAATAAGGGTCAACATGTCTATTTTAATTTTAACATTATGATTATTGTTTAGGATATGTTTGTTTTGACATTATGTTTATTTTAGTAAACCTTGTAGGATCCTATTAATTTTAAAACTAAGCAACTTGCTCCTATAATTGATTAACATTTGATGAGAGCAATGATGAATTTAGGTGATCATAGATCTTGTATCTACAATTGAGCTCTGCTTTCTTCTTTTTGGTTGAATGTAATATCTCAATGCTACCTATTTTGGTTTTACTTTTGTTATCTTTAGAGGTGGTTAAAGTGAAAAAAAAATGGGTAATGATGGAAGCAAAGCAATAATAAAAGGAGTTGTGGGAATCCATCTCCATGTGTCTACACACTTTAATTTAAAGAGTCTCTCTCTTTGCGGGTGGTGCCAACTCCTTCTTTATCGGGAATAAATGTATTTCCTCTTTTCCTTTTCATTGTGCCTGTTTGGAATGTTAGATTGTCTGGGACAAATGGTGGGATTCATTTTTGGTGAATAACCTCTCATGGCGGTGGTGAATTTTGCCCATCATCTCCATTTATTGTGGGAAAAACCAAGGTTATGGGAGACCAATATTTGGTTGAGGGGGCTATTTGGATTCATCAATTAGTTCACTTGTCTTTTCTTTTGTGTTATTTATGTATATATCGAAAGATGCATATGATTTTATATTATGGGTGAACTAAAATTTTAAGAGAATACAAACCTATAAAATTCTGAGAGGGACACGTGATTTTATGTTATGGGCAAACATCTAAAATTTTAAAAGAGTACAAACCTATAAACTTCTAAGAGGGGTGAAAACAAATCATCAATACAAGATACAAAAAATATCTAAACTATACGATAATATAAAATATTTAGGAGGGCGATTAACCTCACCCGCTCCCCTCTCAATCCATTTCTATATATGCTTGAGTGTTAACTCAAATTATATGTATATTGGATGGCCTTTTGAAAGAGACTCAATTATGTAATGTTCTTTTTTGTGAACTAAATATGATTAGATAAAAAAATTAAATTTTATATGATATTTTATTTTTCTGAAAATCAAAAAGTAATTATTCTTGAGTGCATTCAAATTCCAAAAATGTCAACTAAACTAAAATTTATTGGGCGTAAAATTTTAATTTCTTGTTTCAATGGCCATATTAATCTCTATTCCTCAAACAACCAATAAAACCCCCTTGAAAATAATACGAAATATTAAAAATATGAACCTTAATGATCACTAGTTTTATTTTATAAATACGAGTGAATACAAAGTAATATATATTTAAAGACTCTTAATTATTTATATGTTTATATTTCTATATATGATATGCTCGAATTTGAGACAACAAGAAATAACAACGCTTTTAATTATTAAGATTGTTTGGTTCGTGTTGGATGAAGTGAAAAGGAATTTAATGCGTTGAGTAAGGTCTTAGAGAAATTTAGGAGTAGAGAGCGGCATTGCCTCCATTGGTTAATGGTGAAACTATATTTTTAGTCTATTAAAAATTAATCAATTCAATTTAATCCTCTTAACGGTTTATTAAATAGGAAATTTATGTTTAGCCCTCCTAAGAGTGAATACTTCAATTTTACCCCTAATTACAAATGGAAACCCCAATCAGAAAATATTTCTTTCATTTATGGATCTAACATGACTTAATTATCTAATAACGATGATCAATGACGGATTTAGAAGTTTTTTAGGATGAATACTAATATATTAACAATATATAAAGTTTATATTGTGGTAAGTAAATAAAAAAAATAAAATTAATATAATTAATAAAATTAACGAAATTTAAATTTTAAAGTAGATTGCTATTCACTCTAAACATCATGTAGATCCGCCATGTTGAAAATTTCGTAGGAAAGGAAAATGAGCTCTTCAAGCACAAGAGAGAAGGTAACGAATAAGCTAACGGAGGATCAAAGGCACCCATTCCAATGCATGTGTGAGCCTTTCGTGAAAACAGTTTTATTGGTGAAGTCGCAGATTTTCGTCTCCTCATCTACCATCTTACTTTCCACAGGGAAACATGAAAAAAGAAAATGAAATTTCAAAGCAAATTAAAGCCTGGTATGACACCGACAGATTTCAGTTGTTTGGAATGCAAGAAAAACCACTATCCACGTGTATCATATCTCCGTGTATTCAGGGAGGAACATACATATAATTTTATGTTATAACGATAGATTTTTAAATTTTTAAAATTAGATAAATTCTTAAATTCTTAAAATTTTAAAATTAAAATATCTAAAATATATAATAATTTAAAATTTTTAAGGATACTACCTTATTAAATCCCTTTAATCCATTCATGCATGGATAAAACACTAGAGCTAATAATTAAAAGGTACCCATGAAAGAGAGTAAACATTAACGTGACAAGCAATGCATAGTCGTGTTAGTTCATAATGAAGTCCTTGTTTGCAAATTGCAAGTTGGAAATAGTTTATTTTAGTAAATTCACAACCTCCAAAGCCCCACCTTTGATTTCAACTTCTGCACTCAAACTGCATTAAAAATTCTCCTTTTTCTTTCTTAAAAAAAAAAAAAAAACGTGCAGAGGTGTGGTTCATATATACATCAGCCACACTTATCTTCATCTTGTGAAGAGTTCATTAGATATAAGCATTGCGTGTAATTATATTGGGAATCAAGTTTACCCACTATTTAATAATTATTTTGATAGGATTATTTTCACTACCAAATTTTCCATTAGATGTATGTTATATAATCTGATGAACTAATATGAATCTAATTAATTATTTAATTCAATATTAAAAATTGATTCAATAATTTTTATCAAAAAGGTGATTCAATATTACTCAAGTTGATAAAAAACAGTTGAATTTTTTTCCCAAAGTGTTCAAAGTTTTTAATACTTTTTTATTTTTAATAATTTATTATTATAACTTGTGATATTTTATTTTTTAAATATTTTTTAAATTATTTTGTTTTTAAATAATAATTTGATTTTTATTTTAAATATTTTTATATTTATTGTTCAAAAATATTTTATTAGTTTTTTTAAAGAATTAAACAATATTTGTGTTTTTAAATAAACCCTTAGATTTATAAAAAAAAATAAATAACCCTCAAACTTTCTAGAATTTCAATCGAATCTTTTTACCACATCATCATCAATTGTGGACTATCATATCATTATTGTAAACTGTCATATCCTCATTTTAAAAATTAATGTTACTCTTCATTAATCAATCTGATCAATCTATCATATTAATTTTTCTAATTTAAGAGTCATATTATATGTAAAATAAATTAAAAGATCAATACTAAAATTCCCTTAATGCTCTTATAAGTTCATTTTGGTGGTAAAAGAACATAGTAGAAATAAAAGCTTAAAGTACACAAATGGTTATTCGACTATAAGATATTGTTTTGTTGAGTTTTCATACTATTAAAAGTTAAAAGATAATTTTTCGATTGTAGAATGTTGCTTTATTATATCACTCGATTATTAAAAGTTATAAAATGATCACTTTATTATTTTGTTCTAATCTCGTCCTTTTTTATTAAAAAAATTATTGATAGTCTGAGTTGGACGTCTACCTGTTGACTAATATATGATGAAATATGATCTTGAAATTGTTGGACTCAACAAAACAACATCATATAGTCGGAGGATCATTTGTACTTTACCCAAAATAAAAAATAAGAACTTTTTAATAGTAAATGGTGATTACAATATAGCATCTGATCATAATATTTCTTAGTCATTTACAATGCATATACCCTATTAACACAACTACTCGAACTCATGATCTTAAAGGAGAACAATACTTTTTTTAACCACTAAAGTCTCTCAATGAACACACTTTATAAACATAATTGTTCGAACTCAAAATCTAAAAAGAAAACAATATTTTTTTAACCATTAAAGTATTTCGATCTACTTTGATGGCATACAATAGTATTCGATGTAACAAAATCGAGAGTTGGTAACAAGTGAAGATAAAATTCCAATAAAAAATTAGAAAAAGAAGAAATATAAGAATTGAATCTACATGAAAACGTAATCTAAGTAATAAAATCTGCCACTCCATGTTTTACTAATTCCAATCAAATTATGTGTACAATAAATTACTACAAGATTCTTTTCTTAATATATATATATATATATATATATATATATATATAACTACAAGATTCCCTCTCTTATCTCTTGCTTTTATTCTGAACTTTCTCTTTCCATTCAAAGCCAAAGCCCAAATAAACCCTATATATATAATGTATTCATGCTGATATATTTTCCTTGTTCTGCCATTCTCGAAATCCAAATTATTTCTCTATTTTCTCATAGCAAAATCAAAAGCAATGGCAGTTGAAGCTCGGCATATGAATATTTTCCCTCAGTTAATCATCAATAGGTGCTTCTTGTTCTTCAACATGATTTTATTTCATTTTCAAGTTTCTTTCTTTGTTTTTTAACGTGATTTTCTATTTGGTTGAAGCAGAGATTTCATTAAAACAAGTCAAGGGATGGGAAATCTATACAATACCCAGATGGATTCTTGTGTTCCTCTGGCTGAATCGATGCAACCATTGTATCAATCCCTTGTTTTTGATCCAAAATTCTCAGCCAAAACTTCAATCAACAAAGCCGACAGTGGTCTGTCTTACAACATGAATATCCCAGTTTCAGCTCCAAGAAAAAGGTCTAGAGATTCACTCACCAGTGACTTTAATTCCTACTCCGTCCCTTCAATGAACATGCTTCTCGATAACGATGCCTTCTCCCAGATCCAACAACAAGAAGAAGATATTGATCGTTTCATTTCTGATCATGTAAGCTTCTTAAAGAAGAAACCTTTTTCTTATTACGTTTAACTTGGAATTTCTTGATGAATTTTTATGTTTTTTTTTTGCATGAATTGCAGACGGAAAAGGTGAGGTTGGAGGTTGAAGAGAGGAGAAAGCGGCAATCAAGAATGTTGATTACTGCAATCCAAGAAAGGGCGAGGAAGAAACTGAAGGAGAAAGACGAAGAGATGCAAAGAATCGGGAAACTAAACTGGCTTCTTCAAGAAAGGGTTAAAAGTCTATACGTGGAGAACCAACTGTGGCGAGACTTGGCGCAAACGAACGAGGCGACGGCCAATTCCCTACGCACCAATCTAGAACAAGTCATGGCACATGTCGGCGGCGAGGGAGATGCCGCCGCGTTGGAAGAGGATGCGGAGTCTAGCTGTGGGAGCAGCGGCGAAGGGTGGCGCAAGGTGGTGGTGCCGCCGCAAGGGAGGAGGTGCCGGAAGTGTGGGGAGAGAGAGTCGAGTGTACTGTTGCTGCCATGCAGACATCTATGTTTATGTACAATGTGTGGGTCCAGCATGGTCGACACTTGCCCAGTTTGTCTTTCTGTTACCAATGCCAGCGTTCATGTTAACATGTCCGGATGAACTCTCTCTTTCTTTCAAGCTGAAACAAAGAAAATGCAAATATCTTTTCAGATATGCTTCACATTCATTTTATTCTTTTTTATCTCATCTCTAGTTTTTTTCCCTTTTATTTTTTTTTTGTCAAAATTTGATATAGTAAGTGGCACAATTATTGAATCATGGGCACGGATAACTGTTTATTTACTATCAAATATTTTTTGTAATTATTAATTTTGATGATCGTATTTATTCTGAAATTTTATTTATGTCAATCATATAAAATAATTTATGTGATTATATATGTTGTATATATCTTCAAAAATATTTTTATTGAATTTATTAAATGATCTCAATGATTAAAATAAATGATACTATCTCTTGAAGTCTAAATTCAAATAACTACATCTATATGATATATATATTGTTAATGAATAATTTTTTAAACAAATACTATCTTTATAATCACACCATTAAAAGATATTTGTAAATTTGTGGCGTTCATATGTGGTGCATTGATTCACTCATTTTTTGTGTATGGATTTTGAAGGATTAAAGGAAGGATGGTCACCACTCACGAGAGCCCTTTATCCTATGCGTTTTAAATTCCCAACCCTTCTTTTCTTGCCCCCGCGTTAAAGGCTCTCTCACACCCCCATTGTACTAAACCACTCTAATCCAAATCTTTTCTTTTCTTTGAAGGGAGAGAATAAGTTATTTAAATTTTAATATCAGTCAAAATTATTTGTTATTACATCGCAAACTTAATTTAATCCTCGCATCTTTGAATAATCTTGTTTGATAATAAAATTAATAGTTCTATTTTATGTATAAAACTTTTTAATATCCTTTCTAATAATATTATTTTGAAAGTTACGAAAGGATGCAATGATTGATATGCCCCAAGTTTCTTCCCATTATTTTTACTTTTTCTTTTCTTTTTCACATATTATATTGTGTTTTGGTTTTTAGTTCAAATTTCTTTGATTTTGTAATGGGTTAACAGGTACACCTATGTAAAGTGAAAGATTGCACAACCCTATATATCCATTCACATATAAAGTGTATTCCATTTCTATTTTCACCACCCATAAAAAAAATATTTTTTGCACAACCCTATATATCCATTCACATATAAAGTGTATTCCATTTCTATTTTCACCACCCATAAAAAAAATATTTTATGATGTAAATTTTCACAACATTGAACTCTTTTTCCTTTAGGATGCTCATCTTTCTTTGTCTCTTTTATGAATTATTTTAGGTTAGGTGAGACGGCTTAAATATATTTCTTTTCTTCTCTTTGAATTAAACAACTGTCAAGGATAAACAAAGTAACTATGAGAGGCTATATGCTTATTGAATCTATTTCTAAATAGTTTAATTACAGACGGAGTTAGGATAAGATATTAATAGGGTAAAATTGTTTTATGTCAAAAGAACAAGGAATCATTCAATATTTAAATTTAAAAATTGAGAAGGACAGAGACTTTATTTAAACTAAAAAGATATGAGATATCAATATTCCAAAATTTTTGAGAAAAACAACATATTTTCAATCACTAAGTAGATTTATTCTAGAGTTTAATATTTCTTAAATAAAGTGTTAGTCTTGATTTTTTAAGGAAAAAGGATTTTTCTTTAAAAGGGTTCCATCCAACTTAACTTCAAAATTTAACATGAATGTATAAATTTATTGGAGTAGCTATAACTTTCAGGCAACCAAGTGTTAGTCACTTATTGGACTAGCTATCATTTTTAGGCAACCAAGTGTTAGTTGTCTTTCTTTTCCCGTGATTAAATTTACCATAGAAAAATAAAGTCTATAAGCTCACCCTTTCCCTTGAATGAGTGGTATTTAATACTATCCAATAGCTTAGCTAAGATTTCCCTTAGCTTTCTTTGCTACTTTTTGTTGTAAGATATATATCTCTATCCATCTATCCAAGAGACGTTTGGTTCCTCGGCTTTTTTTTAATAGTTGTCATTATTTTGACTAAGAAATTATAGGCTAAACTACACATGTAGTACCTCAACCATCACTTTTGTTCTATTTTGGTCACCTAACTATTTTCTTTCAAAATCATACCTAATGTTTATTTTTTGTTTTAATTTGGTCACACACCATTAAAAAACTAACGGTGATACTCAGGTGTCACCATAAGATAAAGTCACGTCATCATTGAAAAAATGTCAAATCAATAGTTCATTTAATTTTTTAACGTATGTAACCAAAATTTAACTTTAAGTATGATTTAAAAAAAATTAAGTGGTCAAAATGGTACAAAAGTGATAGTTGAAATACTAAATGTGTAGTTAACCTTAAATTATAATTGCATTTATTTGTTGCTAAATATAGATTTATAATTGTGCCAAAAAATATATAGATTTCTAAGACCACCTACCCTTTATTACTTAAACTAATAGGATAGGGTTTTAAACATTGTGTTGTTTAAATTCTAATGCACTCCTTTACCAATAAATTGAAGAAGCTATTAATGAACAAAACGTGATAATTCCATATGAAAATGTGATTAATCATCTTTCTAATTGAATTAGTTTTAGGGGAAATGGAGCCAGTTATCCTCTTTTCTTCTTCTTCAGTGTATATTTAAATTATTTACCAAAAATTAAAGCAAGGAGGACAGGATACAAATTTATCATTATGAGTGGTTAAATTTTATTATTGATCTGCCGATTAGTATCATATATTCAATATACCTTTAACTTCGAAACAGAATATTTTGATTAGAGACAATAATTTGTAAAAATGAATAGAGATTATAATATAATTAAGATATTAAAATTTAAATTAGTGGATGAGATAAATAGGAACTTCTTTTGTGCAGTAAAAGAAGATGAAAGTGGGATAGAAGAGCTGACTTTAATAATGTAAGTTTTGAAAGAGTCCCTTATAATTTCTTAAAAGTAGACTCACCCACCATGTGTACTTTTATACAACTAAAATTTTAAAATATAAATATTACATCTTTAAGTAAGGAAAATAAAAGGTTGAAGCACATATCGAATGATATTGTTGTTGTTATTCTTTGAGATTTCGGGGTTGAGCACCAGAAATATCAAGATAAAGGTTTTTATATTATTTTAAAGTTTAGAATTTAATTTTTCTTTTGATTTAATGAGATTAAGTTTTTTTTATTAAGGGTAAATTACATTGGAGGACATTTTTATTTTTTTGTTTGTCTTGTTTTGATCATCAAATTTTAAAAAAGTTATGTTCCAGTCACTAACATTATGAGGTGAATACATTTTGATCACTGAATCGCTTGATGGTGTGACACGATAGCGAAAAGAATTAATTTTATCCGATTTTAAGTTTGATTTGGTAGTATTGATCTGCTCCATCACATCTGATAAGGTATGATTCTAAAGTTGATCTATTCCTTCAAGCATGAAGATGTAGGATTTCAAAGACAACCATCTGCTGGTTCGCACCTGGTGAGACATACCTAATTGAAGATGATGGTATGCTCATTCGTACCGGATAAGGTAGGATTTTAACGTTGTATTTCATTCATTGAGATAAATTTGTTAAAGATAAATTGCTCTTTCATACCTCGAAGATGCTAAATTCTATAGATACTCCGCATGAAACGTGTCTTTTATGTCACCCAACAAAATATTTGTGTTTGCTGATAGGCGTGTTATATGAGATAAAAAACACATCTTAATAGTCATACTTTAGGAAAATAAAATATATGTATGGCAAAATATATTTTTACTCCACCCAAAATAAAAACGTCATTTACATAAATATTTGTTTAAAACAATTTAAAAAATAACGACACTCGTGAGCATGAGCCAACTGAAAAGACTTTTCATTTTTTTAATTATTTAAATTGAAAAGAAAAGGAATGACCAAAACCTACTAATTTGGACACTTTTGTTTTGTTAAGACTCAGAATCACGTGAAATGGGTTTTCGACACGTGTAACTTTTTATCCGCTTGTTTATCCAACTTACTCCTTCCATTAACCTTCTACAGTAAGCGGTTAAAGTTTCTTTCAACTGAAAACAAAATAATGTGGTCAAATTCAACGCAGACGCATTCAACTTTGCGGTACGTCCCTTTGAAATGAACGTTTGGTTCGCAAAAATCCTTTGAAATTAGGAGGAATTGAATTTAATTTCATCGTTTTATCATGTATGATTCAAATTTTCAAAGGGAATTAGAATCCCTCATGACATTAACTTTTCATCAAATGAGGGAGAGTGAATTCGATCCATTCTATGATGGAATTTAATTCCTTTGTTGGAGGGAATTGAAATTTGACCATACTAATCTCATTAATCTTTTGGTAACTTATTTATATATTGAATAAAAATATATTTTTATTATTTCGGGTTGGGTTTCTAATTCATATATTCGGGTCGGGTCGGGTGAAACTTTATTTTGGTCAGGTCGGGTCGGTTTTTTTAAGTGTAATATTCGGGTCGGGTCTAGTTCGGGTTTAGAGTGAAAAATACCGACCCAAAAATATATATAATTTTACCTTATATATTTAGGAATAATTACAATAATACCCCTCTATATATAATTTTTTTCAATTAAGTCACTGTTTTTATTGAATTAAAATATTTTTTTATTATTTCGGATAGGGTCGGGTTTCTAATTTATATATTCGGGTCAGGTCAGGTGAAACTTTATTTTGGTCGGATCGGGTCGGGTTTTTTTAAGTGTGATATTCGGGTCGGTTGGGTTTGGGTTTAGGGTGAAAAATACCTGACCCAACCCTACCCAAAAAATATATAATTTTACCTTATCTATTTAGGAATAATTATAATAATACCCCTCTATATATAATTTTTTTCAATTAAGTCAATGTTTTTATTTAATAATTTTTTTTTATTATTTCGGGTCGGGTCGGGTTTCTAATTCATATATTCGGGTCGGGTCGGGTTGGGTGAAACTTTATTTTGGTCGGGTCGGGTCTCGGTGGAGGTTCCCTTGTTCTCGGGTCGGGTCAGGTGGACCAAAAACCCAACCCAACCCGACCCATGGCCATCCCTAATTGGGATGATTTTAACTTATGATGTTTATTAGCATGATTTTTA